AATAAGCTTATTATATTATTAGTAGTGGGAGAATTCTAAACCCCATTTGTTCAATTATGGTCCCTTCAATATGCTTATTTAGGTTCTTGTAAATTGTAATCAGTAAATTAGACGTGCTGCCCTCACAGCTCCAGGGTTAGCTTTCAAGGGACTTCCTACATTTGTTTTTTTTAATGTTTATAGTGAAATCAGGAAGGGAATTAGTTGTTTGATATGCAAGGTTGGCTCTGTGTAGTGGATACTGCCTGCATTCTGATGTCTATCATTACTAAGTGAAGAACAGTGGTTGTGATGCTGCAGCACTGCTGTCTGAGCAGGGAAATCTCAGAAAAGGCCAGGACTGTAACCATGTTATGTGCTATGTAATAAAAAATGGGAGCTAAACACATTAGAATGAACACAGGCTGATAAATGAGATCATTGTAAAGTCTCCAAAAGCCAGCATATGTTGCTAATAGTTATCTGACGTGACACAAGAGGGATGTAAAATCCTCAGTATCACCTTCTATATACAAATACCAGCTCTGTCTCTCTCTGTGGTGTTTTTTCCCCTTTCTTTTCTCTGTATTTTGCCTTGACAGTTTTAATATTGAGCACTTGATACTAAACCAAATCACCTAGCTGAGTCATCCAGAGATTTTTCAATCCTCCTTTTACCTTTCTAGATGGACTCTCATTTGCATCACACAGAGACACCATTTTCCAAAGCAACACCTCTTCCCTTTCAGCTCATTTAACTGGATATTTCAGCAGGTTTGGGAAACAGGCTTCTCAGCCCTTTGCAAGTGCTTTATATCTCTCTGTGATTTAAAGAGCCTTTTGCCTTCCTGAGAAGTGGTGTCTGGTTTTGCTATGCAGATAAATTGTGTGTTTGTTGCAATACTAGATCATGCAAACTCCAATATCCTGACCATATTGTCCCCATTTATTTCTTTTATCTCTCTGTTTAATATAATAGGAATAGTGGCTGAGGCAGGGAAACATATGCAGCAGCATAATAGTATATTGTTTGAGAGCAGTTGTCTTCCATTTCCAGGGTTTCTCTTTGAAATGTAATTGTCTGCTAATATAACTGGGAGATATTATTGCAGGAGAGATCACTAAAGTGTTTACTTGTGCTTTTAGTTCATGTTACAGCTGTGTAATATTTTTAAAAGAACCTGGATGCAATATTAGCAGTTAAATATCCTTGGTGAGATATGTTTGTAGAAGTTGTGATAGGCATATTGTCACCGAATGTAGTGCCAAAACAGGAATCGCTGTGTCCCATGTGTAATGCAGCAACAACAGAATTACAATTGCCTTGTGTAAAGTATCTGGTAATGAAGGCAGATAATGGAATTCTTTGCAAAAGCAGATGCTAACTGGCTCCCCAACGCTAGGCAGGCAACTGAAAAGTGATACCAGCTGGAGGGGAGAAAAAACAGCTGAAAAAGGCATTAGAAAGAAGATGCCTTAGATGCACGTTTGCTTAAGCAGTAAATACTTGTTTAAAATAATCTTATGAGATTCTTATTAAGAGGCAGGCTGAGACTACCATGACAGTGTTGTAGGAAGTCAGCTGGATGCCCAAAGGGTATTTGTATGCAGATTGGATGACTGAAGCAACACCTCTGGGAATAGCGGAGTTATCATTTATGGAGCGAGGCTGGTGAGGACAGCCCTTCCAAGGGTTTAATTGCAGGAGGTGGGATTGGGAAGAGCCAGAACCTTCTGTTGGTCAGGGAGGAGGCAGCATGTGCTGAGGGAGGCTTGATTTAAAAAGCTGGGGTGTCTCTGCTAGTCCCTACATGCAGAAGCATGTCCACACAAACGTGTCTCTTCTCCAGCAGCACTGGAAAGCAGTGCCCTCCTGCCAGGCTGGAAATGGTGCTCAGCATGAAGCATCTTCATGGTTTCTCCGTGATCTCCCACTATTTTATCATTTAGTCACCTCAGCTGTTTCTAATAGTTGCTTTGGAAATGAATGTGATAATTTAGAATGAAGGGTTTAGTCTACACAGTCTTAAGCTCTGCCAGGGGAGGTTTAGGTTAGATATTCTTTACAGGGAGGGTAATCAGGCATGGGAATGGGCTGCCCAGGGAAGTGGTGGATTCTCCATCTCTGGAGGTTTTTAAGATGAGACTGGATGTGGCACTTAGTGCCATGGTCTAGTAACCACGGTGGTGTTGGATCAGGGGTTGGACTTGATGATCTCAGAGGTCTTTTCTGTGATTCTATGATTCCTTCCATGTGAGTAAGATTTTTTTCAAACAAATAAGGCAACAGGGAAGACCCTAAAAAAAACCAAGCCGTAACAATCCAATCTCTTAATAAATAGAAGCAATTTGATGACCCCTGGAGTTGATCTCTCTTTTTTGCCCAGATAAATTTTTCTTTACCCAATGATTTGTTCCCACAGTGGGGGATTATGGCACAGCTGGAGCGCTGAGCTGGGAATCAGCTCAACAGCTTTCCAGTCCTGGCACAATGCAGGCAGGCCAGAAACTTCGGTGGGACTCTGTCTTGTCCCAGGCAATTGCCTTAACTACTAATTTTTGGAGGACTTAAACTTACTTTTAGTTTCAGCCCAGCTCAGAACAGGAATCGATGTGTGCTTCTGAACTGCTAACATTTTTCCCATGTGAGAAAACTCATTTTGAGGAGGAAACACTGCAGAATTACAGACTTACTGGCAGCCTCAGAGGCACTATGTCTGCAGACAGAGGCTGGAGCAATGTGTGTTTGCAATGTCACAGGGCTGCTCCTGCTGGGGAATTTCAAGCAGTTTTACTGACAAGCAAGAAATGAGTTTTGAAGCAGGCTCTGAAGGTGTGCAGCTTCATCTGTACTGCATTTAAGTGTGTGCGTTCCTTGCTTCTTCAGCTCTTTTCTGTGCATCTGACTGTAAGTTGTTAAAAATATGCTTTAGACATGTTCCTTGCTCCTGGCAAGTGAAAGTGAGATGTGTTCCCTGTGTACAACAAGCAGTGAAAGGAATTGTGGCAGCGCAATGATCAGTCAACAGCATCCCTCCAGCACTGAGTCTTTCCTTTGTCCACAGAAATGCAATCAATAAGAAAACCCTTTTCTACCCATTACCTGTTCTGGGATATACTGCAGCTGTAATGAGTTATTTGTCTAATTGTGGTGGGCAGCAAATGTCTTCATGCTCTTCGGGTCTGGACTTGCTTCATGGGCAAAGTAAATTAAACCTTGGTGATGTGAATAAACCATGAATAAACATGCCTGTATCTCCTGTTGTTCAGAAGCACGATTTTCAAGACCTTTCCTCTTGCTGGTTTTTTTCAGGACATATCCTGCATACGAAAAACAGCTTCCAAATTCATGTAGCAAATCACACCTCTAATTATATTTTGACCCCATTATTTAAGAAATATCTTAAAGAATTCTGCAGCTACATGGATTACCATTTAATGCAGTTATATGAATTTTTTGGCATATAATTGATAGTAAAAAATGAGTTATCCATTTTTTTAAGATATTCTGATTTTGTAACAGACCTCTGGAGAGCTTTAACAGCTTTGTAGGGATAACATCTCATCCTTAATGTACACACCCCAGCTTTTAGGCTCAGGCACCAGGGATTTTGAATGTGGCAGAAAATGCTAGCCTATAAATACAACGATGGGAGAGCTGGTTCTTGTGTGTGTTGCTCTGAGTGCAGGTAATGCTCTTGGATGCACCTGGGGTTGGAGGTGGGAGGCTGCTGCCTTTGTCCCAATGGTCTCTGCCAAGGCACAAGGGGCTCCTGCAGCTGGAACAATTACTCAGGAAGGACCATTGGAGAGAAGAGCTGCTGGGAATGACCCAAGTTTGGCTAAATCACCCTGACAGCACAGGGGATGTGGAAGGAACGTTTCTACTTCATCATCTTTCTTCTCAGCAGTTTTTATTCACTTTTAGTTGCCTCCCTCTCACCTTCCCCAGCTCTTTTCCCTCTTTCTTGTTGTCATGGGAACATTCACTACAGTAGTTAAATCGTACTATTAAAATATGCTTCCCCAGGAGGATGGTAGTAGCTAATATTGATCTAGCTCCTGCTGCTGACTCAGGGATATGGTTGAACATAGAATATCCCTTATTTCTCCTTTTAATGCATAATGCAGCGGTTTCTTTCACCTTGGGCTCTCTACTAAAGGTGACATCCAGTCACGGCAATATCCTTTGACTTGCTTTTTTAGATGTGTGGCCTATCTGAAGCATTGGATGTTTTAAACTGGCTTTAAAATCTGTAAAGGAAAAGCAGGCAGAAAAAAAAAATCACCCTCACCAGCAACAGTGATAGATGTTGGTGAAAAGACATTCAGATTAAACTGTCAGCATCCACAGCCACGCAGTGTGCTCCAAATAACTTTGTAAATACATTGAGCTCTTGTCACAGGGATGGTTGAAATGTAGATGAAAGACAAATAACCACCTTAATATCAAGTGAAGCTGCATTTAAAAGCATAATCACTCATCTACATTGTCACTGACATCTGCTCTGCGTAATCGCCCGTGCAGCAGCACCTCGTGTTAAGCAGAGCATGGTGAGCAGAGTCCTGAGTCACTAGAAAGAAGCAGGTTTTACCTTGAGATATGAGTCTGCAGTAATGTTGGAACCATTAAGTGCTTCAGTTTCCCGCAGTGGTTAATTAACCAGCTCGAACTTTATGAGAGTTTCCTGAATTTGATGGGGTTTGTGCAGTAAAGGTGCCTCTGGAATTTCCTTGTTTATGCTCCTTACAGAAAATTTTTGGTTTAGAAGCAGGCTGTTGTACAAATAATTAAAATAGTGTGGGTTTAATGTGAATAATATTTGCAACTGATGCTGCATTTTGCTGTATGAATGATACAAACACAGCAAACAGTATTTTAGAGTCTGTGCTGAAAAGACCTTTGTTAAAAACACTGTTTGCTGAGAAGTCATAAATTTCTAGCATATTTGTATGTGTTCTTGAACATCTGTGTATAAGTTATTTCGTGTTCTAACTCATTTTATGTTTGACCTTCCTAGAAAAAATCAGGCAAAGATATGCAGATCTCCCAGGAGAGTTGCACATTATTGAGCTTGAGAAAGACAAAAATGGGCTGGGACTCAGCCTCGCTGGCAACAAGGACCGCTCCCGGATGAGCATCTTTGTAGTTGGGATCAATCCAGATGGACCCGCGGGACGAGATGGAAGGATGCACATTGGTGATGAGCTCCTAGAAGTAAGTGTTTCCTTTAGCTCTTAAGCAAGGCTCATGAGGAGAGAGGGAGAGGCATATGTGTAGCCATCATTTGAACCTTAAATAAAGCCTGCAAGTGGAATTAGGTGGCTGAGGGAAGGAGCTGTGCTGATTTATGCCAACTGAGAACTTGGCCTTTGGCAGGTAAATGTGTTTTCAGTGAAACAAAAATCATTGGCCTGTGAAAACTAATGTCTTGTCAGCGAAGTCTGTGCTCTCAGCATGTTCACAAGCTCTGTGTTGGGAGGGACTGTTGAAAGGCAGGAAGGGGACAGTAAATCCATCCTTGAAGTGCATATGTGGTTTTATAGGGAAATTCACACCTTACATTAAAAAAAAAACAAAACCCCTCAAAGTTACCATATGTGTTTTTACAGATGACAGGGATATTCCCTATCCTGAAAATAAATTTCATGCTATAATCTGTTTAAAATACTTATTTTCTTTAGTTGTGTCTGGCACAAGTTCACCCACGAGGCAAGAGAGCTCATTAGCAACTGGAGTATTTTGTCTTCACTTTTCCTCCAATCTCCTTCCTTCACCTTCAGACTGAAAGCACAGCCTTCCTTCACTTCATCTGATTTTTTGGCTGTTGCAAAATGACACTTTGCTGCAGTACCTGCAGTGATTCCCCGCGTCATGATTGCTTCAGTGGTTTAAAAAAATCATCCATCCCTGGGGATCTTACCCTGAGAGAGAAGCTCTCACTGAAGAGCAGGGATATGCTGACCTGGTGTACTCTGTGGGTGGTGATGCTTTGATCTTTCAGCAGCTCTCTGTGCAATCAGAAAACCACCTATTTTTTCACTTTTCTTGACTTGAGAAAGAGCAGTTTGACTGCCTGGGGATACCTTGGGAGTACTCAGAATTGGCTAAGCATTTGTTGTTGTCTAACAGTTCTGCAATTAGGGGTTTTCAGTACACATAGTACAAGAAAGATGTTTTGCTATAAAAACACCCCCATCTGAAATTTGTTGTTTTCATTTTAAGTGTGAGAAATGATGTGAAGGTCTATACCATAATGGAGTAGGGTAGGAAAATTACTTGCTCCTTCAAATTTATATTTTTCTATCCCTGACACTGAATTTTAATGGTATAAAAAAAAAAGGCAAATTGTTGAGTTTTGGGTGCATACCAGTTGAAAGAACTCACAGTTCTGATTTCCTCTGTGCATTTCATTGGTAGTTCCTGGTAGAAGAGAAGATCTAATGTTAAGTAGTGCCAGCAGTACTTGAAAGATGCACCATCTGTGATTAATCACATATCCCTCAAGGCTTGGGATTTGCATGGATGAGCCATGTTATAAGGAGAATTTTCCAAATTGGTGGTGCTGTTCTAATTCCTCTCCCCGTTAAGCTGGAGATAAAAAGATTGATTTTCTTTTTCCACTGGAAGAAAAGTGAGGTTCTCCATCTCAAAAATGCCAAACTTCAATTAAAAAGTTCAAAGAGACTTTAGTAACTGCCTCTCTTGTTTACCTTTGCAATCAAATTAAAGGTGTGTCGCTGGTGGGCAGGAGAACAATTCCTGAGGTCATCTGGTCCAACTGCCTTGTTCAAGCAGGGCCACATCAAACCAGTTGCCCAAGACTGTATCCAGATGGCTTTTGAATATCTCCAGTATTATTTCATGCTGCTTCCATGCCAGGGATGCAGAGGTCAACGTGGTCAACTGACTTTACTTGCAGTGTCTTTTACAACGAAGTATGTTAGAAGAGCATGAATTGCAAACTTGGGTGCTCAGAAGTGAGGAAATGACAGAACTCATGTTCGATTCTCATCTAACTGCATGTTTTAGGTATATTTGCATCTACATCTGTGATTAAACATCAGTTTTCAATACTGGAACGTATCAACAAGAGAAGGGATTCACATCTTGAGAAGCCTCTGGCTTCTCTGCACTGTCCTTGGGTGCCCCAGCAAATCCTGTTGGTTAGTCTTGCTCCATTACTACTATGTGCAGATTACTCCCTGTGGGTTTTGATGGAGTTAAGGTTAATGGGATGGAGTTAGAGATGGATAGATATTACCTGTTCATTTTTCTTTTGAACTGGAGTTTGATTGGATTCAATTGAAGGATGTGCCTCAGCACCTTATTCATAAAATCTTTTGTCAGTGAATTAATGGAATGTCATCTCACTTTTAGCTTCTGCAAACAACAGTAGTCTTCTGGGGGCATGATCGTGGCTTGTTTTCACAGCCTGTACATTGAGGGAAATGCAGATCACATAAAAAAGTTGTATGTAATCATTATTTTTTAATCATTTTCATATTCAGTGATGTATTTTGGATGGGTATATGGCTGAAGAAAACAGATTTTTGAGAGAGAAGGTCCTTTCATCCTGCTGTCATACATGGAGGAAAACTACTTGGGTCGGGATTTGGTCTCTGTGCAGAAGAATGTGTTTTTTACAGGGCACAAATTCTGCTTTTCATTTCTTTTTCCAAGCAGAGGAACCATCTGTGGTGTCCCTGCCTCGCACTCTTGCTGTTTTAGTGCAGGTGTCTGCACTGCTTCGGGTCTTATTAGTCTGGGCTCAGTCCTGTTTGTGATTGTGCCCAGCATGGCCTGCAGTGTGTTCACCTGGAGCTGTCCCTGTGCTTTGAGCCCTGCTGCTCCTGAGCTCTGCATGGCTCTGTCCTGTTGGGAGGTTTTATTCACACTGCAGAATCCACCCTGCTATTATCATTATTATTATTATTATCATCTCTCCATAAGAGACTCAACTGTGCTCTATTAATAAACCAAGCTGTTGAGAGCCCGGTTATGCTAAATTACTGATGTTGGGATATGCTGCCATCTCCCCATCCTTGCTTATCTTGATGAAGATGAGGCAGGAGGTGGAAGGAAACTGCTTGTTTGCATGTGGAAGTTTCCCTGCTTGTGGCAGGTTGTCTCTTCCAACACAACCCATTCCGTGATTCTTTGTTTTGTTGTCTGAGGCCACAGCACTTCTTGAAAGAGTAAAAGCCAGTCTTCAGAGTCAAGAGTGACCACAGAGTTTGCCTGTTGTCCATTCTGGACTGTTGCCTGAGAGGCAATTATTACTTTTTATTTTTTTGTGTCATTTTTGTCATAGCTCAAAGCCAGAGAGCTTTTGTGCTAAGTGCATTTTTATTGCTATTTTAAGATGCTTAGATAAATTGAAGTTGTGCTGTAATAATATAATAAATACAGCAGTATATTGCCCAAGTAAATTAGTTACCCAGCCAAATTCACAATGCCACTTATGTTTCATAAAATGTGTTTTATTCTCAGTTTATTTGTTGGGGGATCACTATAGAATCGTAGAATAGAATCATAGAATGGTTTGGGTTGGAAGGAACCTTAAAGCTCACCCAGTTCTACCCCCTGCCCTGGGCAGGGCCACTTTCCACTAGACCAGGTTGCTCCAGGCCCCATCCAACCTGGCCTTGGACACTTCCAGGGATGGGGCATCCACAGTTTCTCTGGGCAACCTGTGCCAATGTCCTTTTAGTTTTTTTCAAAGGAGGGTAAAAATACTTTGTATACAGTTAAGGTTAGTTTTAAGTGGTGATTTTAAAGCTGCAAATAGGTAAGGCTGTGATGGAAAAGCTGTTGTGGAGGAGGGCACAGGTTTTCCAACGTCCTGTCTCCCTCTCCACACTCTGTAGGTGGGAAGCCACGGGGATGAGCTGCCAGCTCAGAGCAGGATGTTTTCTCTCCTTATGGAGTTTACGGTCTGTTGATCACTTTAGATGATGCACATGTTTGAATGTGTGCCCAGCAAGAAATTTGGTGAGGAAAGGGAAATTCACATTCTAATTACTTTTTTCTCTCCAATATTTTCCTCATGCTTTATTATTTGGGAGCTTGGTCTATTTAATGGGGTTTCAATATATAAAATTTGACTGATAAAAAAGTTCTGGAAACTTTTTCCATTGTTTCAGAGAGTCTGGTTGTATCTCAAAATGCTACAATTCCTGTGGTTAGAAGGAACCTCCTGCACGGGTACAAAGAAATAATTATTACAGAAGGCTATGCCAGTATTTTACTAGCTTTGGGGTATCATTTAACTTCATTTTCATAAAAATCAGATGATACTAATTTTATGGATTTCCATTACTGCCACGTAGTGAAAACACTGTGGGGTTTTGGTGTTTTTTTTTAATATCCATATCTAATGTTTCTCTTCTGCAAATTAAAGTTTGAGAAGAAAACAATCCTTTAAATTTTTTCCTCTGAATTTAAGAGCTCAGATTTCCGTGAGTTTGTACTTTCTGCTACCTCAGTGCATGAAACTGTAAACCAAAACTTTTGTAGGTGAAGGCAACAGTACAGTTAGGATATGTGATTAAATCTACCATAAAGCAATGTGTGATTATATTAAAGATTGAACTTGTGTGCTGACCTGACCTCATACCTGTAGCATGTTTTTATCTTTCTCTGTGCTCTGCTGACTTTCCAAGGGGTTATAGAAAGAGACATTTAAAGAAGAGTTGAGGTTGATTTAGATCAGTTTATTTCTTTTGCTTAGTTGAGGCTTTGTTTTTCTTTTCTAATCTCTAATGAAAAAAGTAAAGCACAGATTTATACATTTTGACTCCCAAAGTACTATTTGCTTAATCTGATGTGTTACTTTATTTAAAGTGAAAGATTTAAAATGGTGTTTCTTCTGAAATCCTAGACGTTCTCTTTTTTGTTTTATTTAAGTAGGCTTTTGTGCTTTGCTCATCATTGTGGTATCTACAGCATGAATTTATTTTGCAAAAGAAAGTGACACTTTAAAAAAAAAAAAAATTAATACTGGCTGTAATAACTATGTGGGACAGCCCATAGCCTTGTGGAGATATATTACTTTGATTATGCTTTCATTTTGGTGTAATTAAATAATTATAACTTACAGACCCAGCTCACAGCTAATTAAATTTTGGACTATTTGATACATGTAGTGAATAGGATTAATTTAGCCAGAGTAAAGACTATAAATTTTAATCTAAGAAGTCTGCTGTTTAGAAGAATTGATGGTAATTTAACTAAATCCAAACAATTTGTAAAGCATACACTATTCCCAGTGAATAAATTATTCTTGAGCTTAGAGAAATTAAGTCAACAAACTCACTGAAAGTTTCAAGTTGAACTTGAAGCCAGAATGCAACTGAGCATTTATTTTTGCCCCTGGATTTTTAAGCTTATCTTTGATTAGCAAAGTCTGGCCTAGGATGTTGCTTTTCTCCCTATCTTTGCCACCATGGCAGTTGCAGACAAAACCATATTTAACCATTAGGAATGTTGACATGATGTTATTTCCTCAGTGCTGATCATTTCATGCCAGCTCAGGCCTTTGTGGACCTTTCTTGGGTCTCTCTTTACACAGTAAATGATTCAGTAGGTAGATGCTTTGCACTTCAATCCCAATGACCAATCGAGTGTTAGGGGTTTTATTCTTGTCCTGGCATTGTCCTTATTTAACTGATGAACTTACATCTTGTTTTGACCCATTGAAAATAAGATGGAAGTATTGTGAAGTTCCCAACATGACCGACGAGCCCATATCACACAAGGCTGGAAGATTTGGCCAGTTACTTCTTGTTTGAATGAAAAAATCTTCTAAGACCACAAACCCTGAATCCAATACAAACATTTGCAGTAACAAAAATTCCTTCTATAATCACTAGTAAATTGTTCCTGGGCTCCGTTATCATTATTGTTTTAAACAGCATTGGTATATCAAATGTGAATGTAAATATTATGTTGTAAATTAAGAGTGGGAGGAAAAAACTGCAGTATTGAATCATAGAATTGTTTAGGTTGGAAAAGTCCTTTAAAATCATCGAGTCCAGCCATTCCCCCGGCACTGCCAAGGCCACCACTAACCTGTGTCCCCAAGTGCCACATGCACATGGCTTTTAAATCCCTCCAGGGATGGAGACTCCACTACTGCCTTGGGCAGCTGTGCCAGTGCTGGACAATCCTTTCCATGAAGAAATTTTCCCTAATAACCAACCTACACCTCCTCTGGCACAGCCTGAGGCTGTTTCCTCTCATCCTGTCCCTTGTTCCCTGGGAGCAGAGCCCAACCCCACCTGGCTCCACCCTCCTGTCAGAGAGTTGCAGAGAGTGAGAAGGTCCCCTCGAGCCTTCTTTTCTCCAGGCTGAGCCCTCCTACCTCCCTCAGCCACTCCTAGTGCTCCAGACCCATCTCCAGCTCTGTTCCATTCCCTCGGCACACCGCAGCCCCTCAATGTCCCTCTTGGACTGGGGACCCCAGAACTGTCCCCAGGTTTCAAGGTGTGGCCTCACAGTGCCCAGCACAGGGGGATGGGCACTGCCCTGGTCCTATGGCCACACAATTGCTGACACAATCCAGGTGTCATTGGCCCTCTTGCCCACCTGGGCACACCTGGCTCATGTCCATAGCCAGGCTGTTTCCCTCTGAAAACAACAGCAGTGGCTTGCACACAGCAAAAGTGTCCAAAGTAGTGTCTGTTGCTGTGCTTTAAGTGTTAGATCCATCATAGCAAAAGTGATGTGGCGTGTCCTTAAACTGTCTTTCATCTCTATGACTGTCAGTTCTGTTTCCTTCAGCAGAGCTGAGGAGTCAGCACAGTCTTAATAGCCAGTTTTCCTAAATGTCCAGTAGCCTGCAGGTAAAGTATAGGAGTGTCTGTCTAAGCATCTGTGCTATTGTCATCTATCTGATTCTTCTCAGATCAAGTTGTTTTCAAAAAATCTAGGAGCAATCCTTAAAATCCATTCTAGGGATCTGTGAAAAAAAAAAAAAAAAAGATGTCTCTCATTTGTGGCTTAGTAATAACAGTAAATTAGCTCTGCATTGCTTCCTGTTTTGTATAGGTCTAGACTTTGCAGACCACACTTTCTTTGAGCCTTATCTCCTTTTCCCACAGTACACTTGGAAGTCTTGGTTGTATAAATTAAAACAAGGTGTACTTCTCCACTTATGTGAAAACCGTTTTCTTTTAACAGATAAACAATCAGATATTGTATGGAAGAAGTCACCAGAATGCTTCTGCAATCATTAAAACTGCCCCATCAAAGGTCAAGCTGGTTTTCATACGGTAAGAACAGTTCTCATCAAAACATTTGTTGCACTTTAGTCTATTACATGACATATTTACATATTTAGCCTGTTTTGAAATTGCTGAACTTGCTCAGTTCTCTTTGAAGTGGAATAAACCTTTTTCTTGACTGTTCTTCTTGGAAAAATTGAAGAATTCTCCTTAGTAATGTAAAAAATATGAATCTAATGTCATTGAATGCTGATTTTAGGGGTGTCTGCTGAAGACTTGAGCTGTTCCTCTTGGGCTTTGGAGCACCCTGATGAGAGCTACTTCTTCCAACCTAAAGTGCTTTAGGTTGGTTCAGGATAAAGTTGAGGTGGGCAGTTTGCTCACTCAGACTTCCAGGGGGGAGTGAAAATGGGTCAGAGTCTTGGGGCTCCTGGGAAAGGAACAGGAAAGTGTGGATGGAGCACTTGGAGCACGGACTGGGTGGAAGTGTGAAGGATACCTTTGTGTGGGCATCAAAAGAGGATTTTAAAATTGAGCTTTGACTTGTTTGTGCAGAGGCGAAGCCTGACTTTGCCAAGGAGCGCTGGGATGGATTGTGTGGGAGGGAATATGCTAAAACAGCCTTTCATCTGCATAAGAATTACATGCGGGCATTTTTATTTTGCTCCAAGCATGAAAATTTTTCCTCTTTGTATGTGAATTAAAGACACCTGCATACATTCACTCAGAAGTTCGGGAAGTGTTGCTCTTATGACCCTGGGCAGGAGGTCTGGGAAGAAGCTGCCTCTTTCCCAGGACTCACATATGCTTTAATACACTGGAATTTCATAAATGTGTATTTAAGAATAAATTCCAGCTGTGACTTTTGTTGGGCACTTACGCCCATGCCATTTTATAATGTGATCTTCTCACTAACATATACATCATACTTGATATTGTTTTATATTCTCTGCTCATCCGCATATTCCCTGTGAACAATGTAATAATCTGTGGGTGAATGCATGTAAATGTGTACATTTACTGGCATGGCTCTGCCTGGTACAGCATACACAAAAATGATGGAAGAGCAACATTAGCACAGTGAGGAATGAGTTGCTATCCTTGGCAGCTCAGAGGACCTGGAGGAGATTAATGATCTTGCCTGCAGCTCCTGTGTTACTTTCCCCAGCCATTGAAAATTAAACGTCACGTACCACAACTCACTCACCATTATTTAATTGCATGTGGAAAATGTGTCTGGTTGGAAGTTCCAGAGGCAAAACCACAACTTATGAAACCAAAACGCAAGAGTGTGGGCTTCTTGCAGCCTGCCCTGCTGCTCCAAGCACTGCAGAACTCCAGGGAAGGGTCCGTGTTAGCTCCAATTGCCATGGATTGAAAATCCGCAGTGCATGTTTTACATAAAGCCATGTAAATTCTTAGCTATAATTCTCCTTTTCAGATTGTCTGTGTAGCAGTGAATTTCAAGGCAAAATTTTATCTTGATCATGTTCAAGAGATATTAGAAATAGATATTGGAAATACCATTGGGTGATTCTCGTTTCCATCGGTAGAGTTTAAAAAAAAAACACCTGATTTCAACTTTTAAGTGCTGATGATGATGTTGTAAACTTCTGTCTTCACACTTCCCAAGAGCACACACATCTTGTCACTGCTCTTGGCCTTACACTGACAACTGATGTGTCAGTTTGCTCAACCCAGAGAAAAGCAATGAAAAGGAATTCTCCCACTGAGAGGATGTCATTTGTAACTGGAGCACTGCCTCTAACATGGGGAGAAAACTGATGTCGCCTTGTTTTTTGATGTATGGTCAAATGTTAACAAAGCCGGGTTAGACTGTCCCTCTTAAAAGTGAATTTTAAGGAGAAACAAAAATAATTTTCTTTTCTCATGCAAACTATATTCCATGAGCTGAGTCTATCTTGGTGCTTCCCATTCCTACACCTTAGACCACAAAACCAGTGGATGTTATTGAATGAAAACATGGGCTGTGGCAGTCCCAGGAGTCTTATCCGTGGCACAGTTCAGTGGAAAAAGTGGGGGTTTTGGCTTTATCAACTATAATATAAAATGGGGATATCGAAATGCCACTACTTAACACAATGTGGTGCCAGCTGGAGTAAATAAGAGCAGCAAGAGGCATCTTGAATCTGCACATGCCTTCAATGGCTTTCCCAGCTGCAAACAAAGTGCTGAGTGTAGCAGGCTGAGCTCTCCTGGTAGGTTTTGCCGCTTGGCTGGTTTCAGATATGTTCCTCTGGGCTCTAATGATGTGGAAAGAGCGGGATACCATCACATCTATCATGCTTTGAAAATGATGGAGCCAGTTGCAACAGAAATACTACTGCTTTCCTCCTCCTGAGCGCTGTCATCCCTGAAACTTCTCCTAAAGGTAGAAGGTGTGTAGAGTAACACAGCCAAAACACATCCAGGAGCATGAAGAGGCCACAGCTCGCCATAGCAAAATAACATGTACTGCAGAAGTTGTGAGAGAAATCAGTTTGCTCTTCATGTGCATGAAGATATTAATATTTCAGTTTCACCAGTGAAAGGCCTGCATAGATTACAGTTTTTCAGAAATACGTCAGTCTGCAGCCTGAAAGGTTCCTGCGTGCCTGACTGAGCTGACCTAGGACATAAAAGCCAAACTGGTGAAACTCTTGGTCTATTCCAAGTGCCCTCTTTGACACCCTGAGGCCTTATTTTCCTGAGATGAAGGATGCTCAGCGATAAGTGTGGTGCTTTTCACTTCGAAGCAGGAAACAGCATCAAGGTTTTTCCTATTCCTGCTGTTTCGGTTCATGTGTAGGGCAGGGAGATGTTTCCATAAACTCTTTAATCAGTTGTGAAAGAAGCCCAGAAATTCCTGGGCACAGAAAAGCCTTTCTGTGAGAACTATAATAACTATCATTAAATAACTTAAGAGAATCACAGAATGGTTTGGGTTGGAAAGGACCTTAAAGATCGTCTCGTTCCAACCCCAAATTTATTTTTTTTCTAGAAAAAGATAAAGAATATAAGGTGACCTCAGCCTTTTTGACTTCTTACTAAGTTACTGAGTTACCATTTGTGCTATAAAAATCTGTTCACACTTTTTTATATTCAGGTAGTGTTACAATTGCATTCCCACCCTTTCCTGAAATTTTTGCTGATGAGACATAGTGCAGTAACTGTTGTGAGAATCACAGATATCCCCCTATATTTGAAGGCTTCTCACTCTGGTTTATGAGCATCTTTTCCTCAATTAAGTTGATAATGATTATTTAAAACTGTTGATTTTGGCCAGATTCCAATATATAGGTCTTAGCACAGCCCTGTTTCCCAGTGGTCTCATTAATTACGTGAGCTTCTGAAAGCATCTAAAAGATTTGCAGTTACAGTGTCAATATATAGTGTCAATATAGTGGCAATAAGTGTTGTAATGTCTTAGTTACCTTTTGAAATTGTTGGTCTAAATCTCCAACAGGAATTAGCCAGGTAATAATATCAGAAATGGACATGCTTCTTGTAGGAGTGTCTGTGCCCTAGTTCCCAAAATAGAAAGTGTTTCTATCCGTTGTGGTTTTTGTTCATGCATTGTAAGTCCATCCTTGTAAGATGCATAATAAAACAATATAATTAGATTTTACATCTGTAGTAGGAAATCCAGTTTATATCAGAATGCTCTTTTACAGGGAGAATTTTATGATTCAGCAAATTCAGTGGTTTTTTCCATGCTCAATTAACTGTCTTTAATCTGGTTTAGTGCTTCACTGTTGGTATAATAAGCAGATCAAATATAGTTGAATGCTTGAATCAAAGTGAATGCCACTGATTTCAAACCATCCTCCCATTGTGTTCAGTTTTGTGAGTCATTCTTTGGTCTACCTTTATTCTTTAAAAGAAAATTGTCTTGTGCTGTGATGAAACATGAGAAGTGCTTTCAGAGTAAGGGACTTTGCTGATTTAAATACCATCTGTTTGCTGTCCAGAGCCCTCCCACACTGCAGTCATCGTTCTGTTATCTTTGCTTCCTGCTGATGGGATTGTAGCTCCTTGATGAAGCCCACAAATCTCTGTCACCCAACCCCTCCTTCCATTTCCAGGTGTAATTCTAAAGACTATTCTGTTATTTATGGTGGCATGCAAAGGAGAGAGATCCTTCTACTCCAAGGACTGGGAAAGCCAAGACAGTGTCTGGGTTGGCTGTTTAACAGTCCCCATTGCTGTGACTTTGTCACTGGTCTTTGCTCTTCTTTTAAAACCTCCATAAGTAACATTTTATGTTATGTACCAATCTCAAATGCTGTCATACTTCAGATAATAATTTCTTGTTTGTTCTAACCTACATAACCCCGTGTGGGCCAGGCACTTAAGAGTTAGACTCAGTGAGCCTTGTGGGTCCCTTCCAAGTCAGAATATTTTGTGATAATTGACCATATTTTAATAGTATAAACTCTGTTTTTACTTGCTTTGATTGCTTAGGTTCTTTCATGTGGGAAAGCTTAAAAAGTAAGCCCTTACCAGGCACTGTGTGTGCAAGTTTGAACATTTCCTGTTTTCTTCAGAGCTGTTTCCTCCTTGCTGTCATACACATGTGGGAACAAGCACACAGTTGAGGAAGTTAAGTAATTTGGGCTCTTTCAAACCTTTGAAGACCTAAGCTATAGTTTATATGTACATTAGTTGTTCATTTAAAATACCTGGATGCATTTGGCTCTCATGTAGTTAGGAGTGGATGGAGAGGAAATGGAGAACAAGACTGTTCTTGCTGCTAATAGGAGAATTTTTTTGAGAAGATGCATAACACAAAGGTCTTTTTGACCCAGCTGAAGGAATAATCCAGTGTGGCTTCTCAGTGTGCAGCTTTCCTGCAGCTCCTCTTTTCCAAAGGAACTTCTAGAGGGAAAACAAAGATGAGAAAATGCAAGATCCTGCCCGGATTTTTTTTTTTTTTTAATTAACAAGCAGGATGTGGACAGTATATGTTTTTAGTAATTTGCAGGACTTTATGTCCTGGTGTCACAAGTAGTGGGAGTTCTAAGGCTTACAGAGCAAATGTTTATTCCCTTCGTCCACAGATCTGTTCCAGTAAGATGTCATATCACTTCATACAAGGGTTTTTATTCTGATTCTTCATGTACCTTTTATTCCCAAGAAACATCCACAACCACTTACAAAGCTGTTGTCAAATGATCTCTTAGTGTTCATGAACTGTGTAGTTGCAGATAGTTTGGCAGGAGAATTGTGTCCCTTAGTTTAGACAACTAGAGGACATCTGGACTTCTGTGATTAGTCAGCAGTTATCAGGAGCCCCCAAAGAGCAATTCTATTCATCCTGTCCTAAATTAAGTCATTTAGGTGCTGGGATTGCCCTTTTGAGTGGGTCTGGTTTAGGATTTGGCTTGGTTTTTGTACTGATCATAGAAGTTTGGACACTCTTGTAGGTGAGGTGCTCTGCTTTAGACAGGCAAGGAATCTCATTCCACATTAAACAAGGATTTTCTTGGCATTGCATGACAATGAGCTTGTACCACCACAAACCTGAGGGATGTAAGAGTAAGTAAAATGGAAACCAGAAAATTTTCACAAGGGCAGCAGTGACAGGACAAGGGGGAATGGCCTTTAGCTGAAGGAGGGAAGATTCAGATTAGATATTAAGAAGGAATTCTTTGCTAGAAGGGTCATGAGGCACTGGAACAGGTTGCTCAGAGAGATTGTGGGCTCCCCATCTCTGGTTGGATGGGGCTTTGAGCAACCTGGTCTAGTGGAAGGTGTCCCTGCCCTGGAATTTGTGGGAGGAGTGATGAATTCCTTTCCTACTCAGTTTATGTGGTCCCAAAGAAATTTAAACAGCTCTCTGGTGCCCACCCAGGAGGTGGGCTCCTATCCCAGTATCAGATACCAACCAGTCTAGGAGCTGGAATAAGAGCCATGAATGTTTGTAATTTTTGCAGATAATGAAGGGGGAACACCTAAGCCTTCGTGCTGTATAAATTTCATTTATCTTGCTTTGACTTGAGACTATGAAGCTGTGTCTTGACTGTGAAGGGTTTAGACACCTTAACCCCAAGCAATAGTGAGCACTGGTAACTGAGAACAGCTTTTTTGGAGGTGGTTATGGAGCAACTATTGGCAAATACATTGAATTCTCAATTGCAGTCACTGTAATTTGAATATGATGTTCAGACTTCTAAGCTGTCTGCTCCTGCCTCAAAAGAAGATGATTACTCCTTTTAGTTGTAAATAAATTCACATTTTAGTTGAGGACACTTATGGAAGTGGAGAGCAGAAACAGCAATTTATTATTAGATCTGTCACTTTAAAATATGTTCTCACTTTGATTCTGCTTTGAAGCATTCTCCTTTGAAGCAGCATTAAAGTATTTAAATATGTACGAGTCCTAGCAGGGGGAGATTACAAGTTGTGACACTGTATAACCTTGGGGGGTTTTATATTTTTTCCTTTTTTTCCCAGGGAATTACTGTAAGTGGGTTTTTATTGCTTGAAATAAAAATGGCCATCCATTTAAAGCTGCATAAAGATATTTTCCCATTGATAGAAAAAAAAAAAGAGTGTGTCTATATGAAGTCAAAACTAGTTTGGATAATTAATTACATCCCAGTTTGTCAGGAGCTTCTGTGTAGCAATTTTTAGAGTATTTCCTACAAATATTTATACATACTTTGTTATTTTCTTGTTTAAGTCTAATTGTGAGCTACGGAGTGGGGTTAGTTTTCATGCTGATTGTGCTTTATATAAACTATTATCAGAAAAAACTCTACAGTCAAAGAAAAACTGGGTGGGCTCTGACACCTCACATGGGATGGTTTATTCTTGTAGGTTAGAAAAGCAACATAATGAGATCGATGTCTCACGAAGATAAGAGGAGGGAGAATGTCCTTGCCCAATATGCCTGGCGGGGTAAAATGCACTTGGAAATTGTGAAATGCTGATGAAATTCCTGGGCTTGGTTCCGTGCCTGCCTCAGATGTGTGTCTTGGCCCCATGTCTCTGCATCGCGAACCGCGCCGTGATCTGAGCGTGGTTTCCCACTCTTGCAAGGCTTTGAGCAGGGCCAAGAGGAGAGGCTGGGAGCGAGTACAGAAATGAGCAGCACCCAACCAGTCCCTTTGAATCGTATGGCTGTTTGGTTGAAGATAAGTAAATGAATTCACCAGCCTTTGCCTGCAGGATTTATCATTTCAAATGCCTGTGACTCCCATTTGCTGCTGTGCTGAGAGCTATTGATTCACAGTGTTATTTCTCAGTGATCAGAACATGCTTCTGTTTATTAACTTCATATGTTTTAGCTTCATGTGTTTAACTCTCAAGGGATAAAATAAGACTTTTTTCTTTCAGGCACTTCTGTAAAACGTTTTTAAGCACATTCTAGTCTAATAGCTTATTCTAGAAATGAAAGAGGAAAAAATCCTGCTTGTGTCACAGTGACATGGAATGTAGTAAACAGGACCAGAAATCAAACCCAGAAGACCCACTGCATGAAAAGTCATTTCCTTTCATCTCAGAAGCTGTGAAGCAGCAATATTGCTGATTCCTCCTAAAAAGGAGACCTGCAAAAAGGTTGGAGAGGGACTGTTCACAAAGGCATGAAGTGATGGGATGAGAGGAAATGGCTTGAAGCTGAATAAGGGCAGATGTCAATCGGATATGGAAGAAATTCTTCCTTGTGAGTGTGGTGAGGCCCTGGCATAGGTTGGCCAGAGAAGCTGTGGCTGCCCCATCCCTGGAAGTGTCTAAGGCCGGGTTGGATGGGGCTTGGAGCCACCTGGGATAGTGGAAGGTGTCTCTGCCCATGGCAGGGGATTGTGATGAGATGAGCCTTAAAGTCCCTTCCAACCCAAACCATTCTATGGTTCTATGATGATTTGCCTTAGATGTTATCACTGAAATCATATATTACTTGGTTTCATTTTACAGAGGCCAAAAAAATGCAGAGCTAATTCCACAAGCCCCATCATTTTAAATGGCAGTTGAGAAAAAACATTAGCAAGGCAGAAGTACTGTTTAATGAAAAAAAAATAGACTTTTGGAAGTCACAAAGTAATCAGATGTCAACTTCAGAAGCATTTTAAAGAGGAGAGAGGAAAAGATGCCATACATCATAAGCATCTTGGAGAAAATAATGCAGGGAGAATCAGTGTTCATCTCCTCTTATCCCTGCATTTCATAACATTTATTCCAAGTTTTTACATTAAATCTTTTCGAAAATACCACAGCAAAAAGGGACAAAAAAAAAAGAAACCGCAATCTAATATATTACAACAGATATTGTATTTCAGTAATGTGGATGTGAGACTATAAACAAGCAGCTTACTGACATGGACACTATTAGAAGAGGCTAACGAAGTGTTAGCACATCTGCTGATGTGTAGGGACCATAAACTCCAACTGCATCCTCTGCTAATCCACACAAAATCAGATTTCCAAAGGATGTGATGTCAGCACGCCCCAGATGAAACTACTGTGGTCCCAGGAAGGGATGTGATCTGTTTGCAAGCAAAGAAGAGCCAAAATGAAGTGCTTTTCTAAGCTTTAACTCTGGTAGGCAACAGTGAATTTTTGTGCTACTGAGAGTAATTTCTTGATGGGCAGAATCAACTCAAAAGGAAAGTTTGTCCATGATGGTTTGGTGTGTAACATGTTCTTTGTTGTACAGGAGTGAAGATGCAGTCAATCAGATGGCTGTTACTCCCTTCCCATTACCTTCAGGCTCCCATTCTTCCATTGAGGTAAGGTTTGTGGGTTGTTATTTTTAATTAGAGATTGCTAAATTAGATAGATTAATCATAATTAGCAGCTCGTGATAAGTTCGAGCACCTTGTCTAATTAAACCCTGAATCATAAAATGCGTTGGGTAGAGACTTGACCTAATAGGCTTATTTTCCCCGTCTCTTTTTTATTGATCTCAGTGTTACTGAAAGGCATTAGCAGCAGGTATTAAAGATGTTATTGCTGTACAGGAGGAAGTGAAGGCTCCAAACTAAAACCTTGCCACCTCCTAACCTGCTCTTTTTTCAGCTGGTTAGAGTAGTCGTGGTGAGGAACTTTCGCCTAGAACAACCTTCCAGTGCAAAAACTATCTTAGTTTAGTAATGTTACCAGTGTTTTCCATCATTAGAGTTGCTACCTCAGGCCCAGTGGAGACTGATTTCTTTCCTGAGCACCGTGAATCCCTGCAGGGTCACCACACTGTTATTATTTTGACATCTCAATGTGGCGTAACTAAATTTTCTAGATAAACTACATGCTTAGCCTTGCTGTTGCTTTTTAATTCTATTTCTGTTTGAGCTAATAAAGCAAAAGATGCTTTATAATTAAATTGAGGTTTGGTCTTGCCATGATGAAATTCATGTGCATTGAACTCCTGGTATTTCCATGAGCATCACTGTGATCCCTCAGCACAGGTCCATGTGAGGTAATGCTGGATGCATCTCCTGTTTGCATCTCCTTGCTTGCTGTTGCATTCCAGGTTATTTTACCACTGATGGCTGTTCCATGCAGGCCTAGTGCTGTACAGTGCAAGAACTGCTTAGATTTTATTTGTATCTGAGTAATATTTGGGCATGCTTTGGCTTCTCGTTCTCGCCTTCATCCCAGCAGCATGTCCCGTGTGCAACTGGTGCATTGCAAATTACAGTTCACAGAGTTCGTTTTATTTTTGTTGACTCTTTAATACCTGCATTTGTTCCCAGCTTTTTTTAATATTTGTGTCTTCAGGATGAAGCAGGAAACTTTGTTTAGGCACATTCTGTGCTGTGGTCAAATAACTATAATTAGACTCTACCAAAGCCTGTGTTGTGTTTGTCTTTAGAGGGAGATGCTTGTGGGTTGAGTTTCATGCATTAATGGCAAACTCTTACTATTTACATTATGTTTGTTTTATAAGTAAATGCAGGTTTTTACTTATAGCTAGTATTTTTTTTATTATCTAAAATAAATGTAACCAACAATAGTGATGTTGTATAGAAGTATGCATTGCTTTCCTTTGGCAGCTCTTCCTGTCTTTAAATAAAGAAAAAAAGCCTTATATCCTGAAATTATATCTTCAAATGTCTTTGAAATAACTGAATAAATATTTAACATTGTGTCTTATGTGCACCCTGCGTGTAGCTTGTCAGATCACATTAAATAGCCTGGCTGGTGTAATGGAATATCAGGGTGCCATAGTTACCATCTATTATTGTGTTAGTTTCCTTCGTCTTATCTCTTTATCTTCATCTGATCTCTTAATATTCATCTTATGCACTTCAATGTAAAATGTCTAATGAAAATTCAGAAATAATTTTGTTTCTATGACTGAAGGTATTGAAAATTTACTTTTTGCAGATAGTTCATTTTGCTTTGCAAGAGAGAACAGCTCCAAATTTGGATCAATTATTTTAAAATTAAGTAAATCAAAATAATAGATAAAAATCTTTTCAAATTCGGGACCTGGTTGGTTTAAAAAAGGGAATGAGAATCAACATGTTAAATTTTACATGTAACTGAATTAGTGATACTTTAGACTAGGCAGGTTTAGATGGGATATTGGGAAGAAATGGAGGGTGGTGAGGCTCTGGCACAGGTTGCCCAGAGAAGCTGTGGCTGGCCCATCCCTGAAGGTGTCCAAGGCCGAGTTGAACGGGGCTTTGAGCAACCTGGGATAGTGGAAGGTATCCCTGACCATGGCAGCGGATGGAACGGGATGATCTTCCAACCCAAACCATTCCATGATTCTACCAGCCTGTTCAAACTAGGTTTCCTGTAATGTGCTGAGTATGAAACAGAGATATCGAGGAGGCCTCTTCATACATCTGTTTAAAAACTGTTGTCAATCCTTTCCCCCAGGATCATGGTGGCACTGAACCTGCAAGTGGTGACGAAGACCCGAGTTTGGAAGTTGTCATGAAAAGTTTGACTGATGAGGAATCCAACAAAGCTGTAAGAGACTTAAAACAACATTTAATCATTGATTAGAGCTTAGGAAATGGAGGCTCACTGGCTTGATTGCTTTTCTCTGCTTTTTTATTGGAGTGTTGCAGCACTTATGTCAAAAAATACCCAGTATATGTAAAAGCAAGTTCTCAGCTTTACATACACAGACTGTTTTCATGAACTAAGCAGTCAGTATAATTTGTTAAAATATCGAGATAAGAGTTTTCATGTAGCCTTTTGGCCCTCTCTTGGATTCTTGGTGAGTGAAGGCATTGAGTTTCCACTCCTGCCATCCATGTGTGACAAACTTCAGAAAAAAGCCTGGTTTGTAAATCGTATTCTTATTTATATTCATAGCTTCATAAATTCTAAGGCCAAAATGTCTATTATCATAATCTAGTCTTGCCTCCTGAATAACACAGCTATAGAGTTACTCTCAGCAATTTCTGCATTAAGCTCATAACTTGTGGTTTAATGTGGGTCTGTCAGTGTGCACTGTAATAAATACTCAACTCCTCATTGATACAGATGGAGCTTTTTGTTGTTTAATAGGTCAGAATTGTGCATTATCAGAAATCTGAAAGTCCTTCAGGGTGCAGCTCTAATCTCTTTTTTTTGGACTCTATGTTAAATAAAGTTTAAAATGGAAAACTACTAAACATAACTAACCTAGAGGTGCCTAAAATTTGCTGAGGCAGATTTTTTGCCCTTCTCCTGTTTCAAGGAGTGCATTGGCTGAGACTTACTGTGCCTGCACAGTCTGTATGTGTCCTCAGCTAAGAAAACCTGACATTTTTGGATGGTTTTTCTCTTACATGTTTTCTTCCTGCCCCATCATGTCTTTTGCAGAGTGTCCTGGGTTTTGCAAATATAAATTGAATATACATAATGTTCTGTAGCTAGTAAGTAATTAATGAGTCTGTGAACTCCAAGAGTTAGAAAGTGTTATGTACTATTCAGTCATTAGAATTAATCACCATGGATTGATTTATGTTCCTAATGGATTACAAAGAAGTTGAATTATTGCTATTTGGTAGCTTTGTGCACAGTCCTTTGATAGGCTGGAATATAAATGAATCAGAGTTTTATTGTATGTATTTACAGGTGTTATTCACCTGATTTTATTAGTGTTCTTGCTCAACTTGGCAAGAAACTTTAGAGAAATTACAAGGTAATATGAGAAATTGCTCAAAGACTGAAGTGGATAAAAATATATAAAATCTCTTATACAGAAATGAACTCTTGGTATAAGCTATTGTGCTGTGCAGCTTTTTGAATAATATTAGAGGAGATGTGAATTTAATGGGGAAAAAAATTGCAGCAATCCAAGAGAGGTGTGGAGGGAAGATACCTCTGGAACAACAGGAAACCCAGTATATATTGGCAGCTTCTTTTCAGACTTGAAGCAAGAAAGAAGGGAACTGTGAAGCCAAAAGGTAGGAGTTGAAAAGTTTTAAAAAAAAAAAAAAAAAAAAAAAAAAGATGAAGAGTTGTCCAAAATAGAGCAGTGGCAGGAAGGTAAGAAAAGACAAAGGCCTTCATTCAGTAGATATTTGCTTAGAGGTGGCTCGCTAATTTCTCCATTAGATAAACACTATTGAAAAGTTTAGGGCTAGGAGGTGGATTTAGAAAAGTATTGGAATGTCTATAGATCCAACTGCTTGTTCCATAACACCTTCAGTTGGGCCAAACCTTGGTTTAGGAGTATAAATGGATGAAAAATAGTGGCAAAAGGCAGTTTCATAATTTCAGTTATCTTTCCATCAGGATTTTAAAACTACATGGCAAATATTTCTGAGTGTATCTTAAGTTCGGTAATACTGACCAGAAGGAAGTGGGTTTGTAGTCACACTGGTATTAAGACTCTGACACAGCAGAGCAGCACAAGAAAGCTCAGTATTTTGGGGAAAAGAGATTTCTCTTGCAGTCTTTAGTGACTGTAAAGGCAAAAGAAAACCCAGTACCTTGTTTTTCAGAGCATGATGGTTGTTATTAGAGCCTCAGTGCTACTTCACCGTTGTTGAATTTCTCAGTCATGTGTCAGGAGAAATCAGGAATGTAAAAGTCAACAAGTAAGATCAAGTTCACTGAGTAAATAAAAAGTATGTGCTTATCAGCAGAGATCTTCCACAAGTATGTACAGCTCAAAGCATGGGCAGGATGTCTCACCAAGTGACAGCTGTAATAAAAGGAAAACTAAAAAAATTCGCATCGTTCTTCATTCATCTGTTGCTGATAAATTTGTCAGTCTCTCCCAACATACTCTTTGTTGTCACTTCATCACTTTAAAAGCTATAAAGTTCTATAATGGACATCATTGTAGACTTGGATGATAAGAAGGGGGAAGGAAAACAACTTTACTTCTGAACTGGAGCCAGTGGAAGTGTTAGGCAAAGTCTGAGTGTTTATTAGCTGAGGTTTGAGGTGGCCTGAGAGAAGGTTGTGGGTTTCTGAGGACTGGAGCAATCTCGCTTTCCACGAAGTGTTGTTGGAAGAGAATTGATATAAGAGGGCTTTGAGATGTTCTGGAAAGTTTTAATTCAACAAAGGTAAAAATGGTATGTGAAAATGGATTCATTTTCCTTTAAAGATTTGAACCTGGAAAAATAATGTGTCTTTACCACAAACAGAAAACACAATCTTGAAACATTGGCAAAGAGGAGGAGCTTTGTGAAAATGCTTTTGGATGGATTTGAGGGGTTTAAATTAGATTAAATCAGTCGGTTGCAGGCTTATGACAAATCCTGAGTGTCCAATTTGGTGCTTATTTTATTCAGGTACCTCTAGCACAGTCTTAGTTAAAAGATTAGAGAGATGTAAAGATGATGCTTGGTGTTTACTTGATGTTCAAGATGAAGTTTCACATTTCAGTCACATATCACAATGAAAAAGGGAAGTATGAAATAATTTTTCATTGCTCACTAAAACAATCTCTCAGAAAATGACAAAGCAGTCTTCCCATTTCTCCCCTGACACCTCTGATAATACAATGAGATCACCACTTTATCTTTTTTCCCGTTATCCATTTGGATAATTGTTAGAGTTGTAGAACTACAACTTGGAGAAAAATGCAGGGGAAAAAAAAAGATCCTGTGGGACTTGGCATCATTTAACATAATAAAACTTTAGCAAACAAGGCCAGTATTTTCAAGCTTGGTTACCTAAAATTTGATTTGCCTTTTTTTTTTTAATGTATGAATTGTCATCTTAATTAAAAATTCTTTTGAGATGCAGAATATCTCTGTTGTCTTTTGAAGCTGGTACTCAGCTTTTCTGCAAACAGGGCTGTTTATCAGGGTTTTTAACATGGGGAAAGATAACTGATACTCGAATCAAAGTGACCCCAGTTTGGCTATGAGCTAAAGAGGGAGAGCACTGTAACTGTCTGGAAGCAGTTGTAGAAGTAGGAGATAAAAAATATATTTTAGTGGTTTGCAAGGATTCAAAAAGAAATAAGGCTACAAGTGGAGCCTGTGATTGAAATACCATTGTTGGAGATCTTAATAATGAGGCCGGAGGATGCATTTTAGGCAGTTATTTTATCTAAGAGTGCCAAAAAGGGAGGGGGAGGTGGAGAGAGCAGATGACTTTGAGCCCTGTTCTGCTGTGGGCACTCTGGTCATTCCAGAGGACACACTTCCTTCTTCTATAGAGCTTCATGTTACTCTGGAGCAACATAGAGCACATGTGATAATCTCCTCCCTGAAAGACCCTCCCTTACGTTGTATGGCTTCAAAACTGTGGCGTGTGTTTTTAATAATTCCTGTGTTCACACTGGATTTTTCTCTTCTCATTTTGGATTTCAGCTTTGTTTGGTACTGCAAATGGATTTACACAAAGAAATTATAATCTTAGAACCCAACTCAAATTCTAGGTTTGCCATGGGCAGGGACACCTTCCACTATCCCAGGTTGCTCCAAGCCCCATCCAACCTGGCCTTGGACACTTCCAGGGATGGGGCAGCCACAGCTTCTCTGGGCAACCTGTGCCAGGGCCTCACTAACCTCACAGGGAGGAATTCCTTTCCAATATCCCATCTAACCCTGCCCTCTGACAGTGGGAAACCATTCCCTCTTGTCCTGTCCCTCCAAAATATCACTGCGTTAGCACAGAATCATCATTTTGAGTTTTGGAGGATATTTTATTTAAGCTAAAGAGACATTTTCAATGCACCTAACTTTCTTTTTTTCTTTTTTAGGATGTGAAACATAGAGCTGAGAAACCAGTGGTGGCAAATGAGCAGGAAACAGAGGAGCAGCTCCCAGAAAATGTACGGGTGTTTAGGAAAATATCTCTGTGTTTATGTTAACCAGAAAGGGAGGGTTCTGAGGGCTTCATCTAGTTGAAGAGTGAGTGATTTATGAGGGGAAGGGGCTAACTGGGGAGACATTAAAATAATTTTATTGGTGGAAACTTGAAAAATTACTTCTTTTTAAGTATGTGGAAATTGCTTGTTTTCCTTCTATTAAGTTTGAGGATTTAGTAAGGTATGATAATGAACAGCTAATGATAATATCAACTTAATCTGCTATTCTATGACTGATAACTGATCTCTCTTGCTTCTGCTTTGCTTTTAGGACCTCAACCAGATCAAACAATCTAAATCTTCAACTAAAGTGCCAGTCAGCTTACAGGAGATACCCCTGGAGCCAGCACCTACTTACCTTTCTCCAGAGGCAGAAGTCACCAGCCGTAGTATGAACCAGTTCTTTTTTTCACAGTATAGTGTATTTTTAATACCTTAACCCAGGATGGATGTTTCCATTTTGCTTTCCAGATAACTTTTACTGAGATTTTTTTTTCTTTGAACATCCAATGACCTATTTTTTTATAGTGTTTGTATTTTTCTCTCATTTTACAATTTTTGAGAGCTTGAAGGTGTCTTTGCTTGTTTTTCTTGACTTCTATGTACAAAGGTCTTGTTCCTGTTTTTGAGTAAAATACAAGTCAAGACAGTTTGGGAAATTTGTCTGTTCCATGGTGCTGGAATATGTACTTATCTGTCCTGAATTGATCGGGACCCCTTGCCATCATGATCTGAATTGTCTAGATTTTAACTGAATTAGATGTGCTCCCAGATGTTTACTCTGAACATTTACTTCCAGAACTCAAGTTGTTCTGATTTAAAGAATTCAGAGGTGACTCAGAATAGTCCTCTAGTTCAGTTGTTTAAAATTAATAGGAAAATATGAGCTTATTAGTTGTTGTTGTACAATTCCTTTGGTGGTTTTAATTTTCTTATTGTACAGTGTGACTTATTTTTTTACCTTTTTATGGTCTTAGGTGTCTTTCCACCTCCACTACCTGTGGATCCAGCAACATGTCCCATAGTTCCAGGGCAAGAGATGACTATAGAGATATCTAAGGGTCGGTCAGGCCTGGGACTCAGCATCGTTGGGGGGAAAGACACTCCACTGGTGAGTTTCTATTAATCTAGTATTTGCTGTCCTTTTTAAAGAACAGCAGGCAAAGACAAAGAAAACATGGAAAATAATAATCCCCTTAATGTCTAATTGCTGTAATAAGTTGTTCAGGACAGGGAGGACAAGCCAACAACTCCAGTCTCCAATAATAATTGATAGTTTTGCCTTGTATCAGATCAGTTGCTGTTCCTGTTTAAATTGAAAGGTTTATGTTTCAGTAATGCTTTCTGCTATGGTCAGAGGTTACAAGTGTATATTCTTTTATTTAACCATTATGAATTAAGAGTTGCAAGCAGGTAAGTTACCAGAATGGTTGGACTAGAAATTAATGTTGCAGAGGCAGAGCTGCTTCAGCAAGGTTAACACCTCTGTCTGGAGAGCAGAAATGCTTAGTAGCTGTTGAAATAAACTGTGATTTATCTGCTTGACACCAAAGCCCTTGCTGAACAGAGGTAAACCAAAGGTAATCTTTTATTGTTTTCTGTGTCTTTTGGCTTAATCTGCCTCTTGGATGTTCTGTTTATTAAACAAATATCTTCAGATGAATTAAAACATATCAATTCAAGTGTAAGCTCAACAAGCTGGTTGCTAAACCCTTCTCTGCCTCTGCTCTTGCTGTTTCCTCTCCCTTTTCCATTTAAGAGATATTATGCTACAGTGTAAAAGATGCCAGATTGGGTTATTTGAATGTCAAATTCAGTTCTTTCAGTAAACAATTCTGCTGCAGAGGTATCTTTACTGGATTCTCCTGAATCCCCTGCCACAGAGACACTTCAGGCAGTGGAACCGCTCTGGTACATGCAGATGGTCCCCAAAATATCATAGTGGGACGTCATTAAGCCATGAAGTGCAGTGAATGTCAACAGGTACAGATAATTTCAGTGTAGCAGTCCTCTTCCAAGAGACCAAGAAAAAAAGAAGAAAAACAATTCAAAGGAAAAAAGAAAGGAAATTGAAAGGAAAAAGATGGTTTTGTTTTGCAAAGTGTAGGCTGTACCTTTTACAGCATTGAAACTGAAATTGGAAAAAGTTCAGCTTTTGGTCCCGTTTATCCCAGTCTCCAATTATGCAGAGTTAGGTTGAATTGCTCTGTTTCACATAGAGATGGAAATGAGTTATGTTGAAGGCTTAAATCAGCCTGTATGGTTTTCACTCTCTCCATCCACGCACAGTTTTGTCCCAGTCCCTTTTTTGTCAAGCTCCTTAGTGTTGAGTAAATTCAAATAAGTTGCTCAGTGTTAGTCATCTCCCTGCTTTTTCATTTAACTGGAATTTGGAAATAATACATGGCAGTCTGTCAGACACAATATGGTGCTTGTCTTTCATGAGATTTTAATATAAATAAATGAAAATTGTAAATAGCTGCTTTACAGAGCAGATGAGAAAAATGCAAAGGATTTTATTCTTTAAATTGAATAAATGGTTTTCGTTAAGTGTTATACTTCCATTAGTTCATTCATTAAAGTGTCCTCGTAGGAATTGATTTTAAAAATCTATGCACTTGAGTGCCATAACTAAACCTATGAAGGGAGGGAGGTCCAACTTCCCACTTTCTGATCCTCGACTTACAGGACGTACCAAAATGAGATCCTGTTTCTTTTCATATTTCTGAATCTACTCGTTCAAAGGCAAGAAATGGTGTTTCATAAGGAACAATTTGCTTTTGGGAAACCACATTCTAATCTGACCATTTGCCATGTGCAGAGACCCTCTCTGGGATTCTCCATAACTTGCTTATGCAAAATGGTCTGTGCAAACCTTTCTCCTCAGGGCAGGCACTCAGGGTTGTGTCTTTAATGAGATCCCAGAATCCTAGAATAGTTTGAGTTGGAAGGGACCTTCAAGATCATCCAGTTCCAACCCCCTACCATGGGCAGGGAACCTCCCATTGCACTGCTTTGTGCTTCTGATCTCCCCCAAATTACTTTGCTGCCTTTCCTTTTCTGCCATGAAGTCAGAAAACCTTTTGTAAAGAGTTGAAGTTCACATGATATAACAGAGTAAAAGCAAATATTCCTCAGGGCTATAGGGAAGTTTCTGTCTTGCTGAGTTTCATGGTTTAGAGAGGAAATGTAACAAAATAGGTACATGGAATTGAGTGATGTATTTGTCTTGCTCTCTGTCATTTGTTTTTAACTCAGTTATATAGATGGACATCTTTTGTAGTTTAAAAAAGGCAGTGCAGAGAGATTAGAATGAAGCTATAATTGGCTTCAGCAGTTTGGAGTTTGGTTTTTTAGCTGTTTTTGAATTGTCAGATCAAGGTTAGAAGGAATGGGAATGACACCATTTATAGTCCATCTCTGCAGGCAGGAAGCAGGAATGTCTTTGGTACTCTTGTAGTTCTAATAGATGACACATACAGAGATGGGATGCCCTGATGGGTCCATGGAAAAATGCTCCATCCAGGAAGGGAAAAGTCTTGGCAAAATAGGGAGCAGGAGCAGTGTCTGTGCTGCACAGCTGCAGGAGCTTTTTCTTTTACCTTTTCTTTTTCCTCTGAGAAAACAAGACATGAACACCCGCTTCTTCTTCCTTCTTTTTCTACTGAGTTCTCTTTATTTTGTACCTGCACAGGTGTGTAAGTGCCTACAAAACCATGAAGGGTATGAACCCCAGTTGCTAGGATTTCAGAAGTAATTTATCAATATGGGGGAAACCAGGAATGCTGCTTCTCAGAATTTGTCAAATCTAAAGTGGACATGCCAAGAGTATAGATGTATTAAAATGCACTTGATCTAAAAACACTGAGTGCTGGTACTCAACAGCAGCTCACATGGGATGGGAAAGCTCTCTCAGAATATTTTATGTCTTTCTTTAGCACAAGATGCACATGCCCAGCTTTTGGAATAATAAATCTGGCAGCTGGGGACAGTCTGCTTTAAAATGAAATATAGAGTACAACTTCTAAGGCATAACCTCAGGAATCTCATCAGGAATCACCAAGTAGAGGCTTGAAAAATACAGGCTGTGAGCAGGAAGGTTAATTTGTTCAGGAGGTTGGAAACTAGTGTCTTAACCCCTGTGAAATGGTTTTTGGTGAGATGTCCATCCCATTAAGCTCAAAACTCTTTCCAGTCACAGGCATTCTAGGCAAGGTCTGGGGTTGTGTGTTTGGGGAGCAGGAGAGCATCAGCTGAAAGGATGTGTGTTTAGAAAAGACACAGGGAAAGGAGGATTGTCCTTGAGAATTGTCTCCATGTTGTTGATTTTCAGACTGCTATAGCCCTTAGCAGTTCTATTTCATTTTACTTTAAGCGTTGATATTTTTTAATATTTTTTTTCTTCACTCTCTTTTATTTCACCTTCCCACGTACCCCTGAGAGAACACAACACATGGCCTCTGCTTTAAAGCAATTGAAGTGCAGAGTGGAGCTGGCTAAAGCACACGGGCTTTCAATTTGTGAGAAGGTTTTTTTCTTGGTTGTAGTCCAATCAAACTTGTAAAAGTAACCTCAGTGTGGGAATTTAAAATAGAAAAAAAAAAGTGTTTTCGGAAACATCCCAAAATGAGGTTTGAGGCCCTAGTGCTGCTCCTCAGGACACCTCCTGCCCTCTTGTCCCCCCTGAATTGTGTATAAATGCTTGTCAGCCCCACTGCTGCTAATAGCAGCCGTAAACCTGACAGGGGTGTCATTGTCACCTGGCAGCTGCTGGTGCTCCCAGGACGCCTGAACTGCTCCAGCCGCGGTATGCCTGGGATTCATGGCAGCTGTAGACCCCTGAGCTGGGCAGGACCCTCGTGCCTGGGGCTGGACAAGCTATGACTCTTAGTTACATGTGGGATTCAGCTTCAGATTTGCATTCGTGGCAGCAAGCCAGTGTTGGCATGGCCAGCTATCCCTGGGCTGCAGAGCCCTGGACCCTGTGAATCCGGGACTAATAACCAGTCCTGTGGGATACAGGATACAGGACTGGCAGCATCAGATAGTCCCGTTGTTCACCATAAATTTAGGAAATGTTCCTTAGTTATTCTGCTTTTGATTCGTTGCATTCTGTATAAGGCAATTCTATATAAGGCAGTTTCAAGGCAAATAATTTAGTTTCATATAACAGGCTTTTTCCTCTGAAACTGTTTTGCTGTAAAGTTTCTATGAAATTTTCATCTTCAATCCTCAGAGAACAGGATGTACAAGGAATTGTTTTAAAAAGGAGTCCTGGTACTCCTCCAAATGGCATGTGAGATTTACCCAGAGAGGTTGTGGCTGCCCCATCCCTGTAAGTGTTCAAGACCAGGTTGGACAGGGCTTGGAGCAACCTGGTCTAGTGGAAGGTGTCCCTGCCCATGGTAGGGGGTGGAACAGGGTGGGCTTTAAGGTCCCTTCCAACACAAACCATTCCATGATTCTATGAAATCTGGACCCCATTATCACCCCAGCGTGGGTGAATGCTGCCATGTCTTGTCCAGTTAACAACTTGCAATGAGCCGTTTTCTATAAACCAGGATTGTTAATTTACAGGGATTTGATTCTTGGCAGTACATGGAAAAAGCATCTCTCTAAAATACAAACATTTTCTTAGCAGGGTGGGAGCACTGTTTTGCTTCCAGCTGAATAATTTAGTAATGGTCAAGTTGATTACTGGTAGTTATTGGCTCTGTCTTTGCTGCCTGGGTGATTAAGATGCCCAGGCGAGCCGGAGGGGATTCAGACTTTTCAAGGCTGGTACAGGGATGTTCCGTCCAGGCAGGGTTAGAGAGCCCTGGGAGGGAGAAATGTTCAGAGGCTTATCTGGGGCTTGAAATCACAGCTAAGTGCTGGACAGGCACCTATGATATAAAAGATTGAAGGGACTGTAACCTGGGGGCTCCCTGGAGGTGAAGTGGGTAGCAAGTGGTCATTGCCTGAACCTTACACAGAAAAACATACTTTATCCTGTGTCTTTTTTGTTGAAAACAACAACAAACCTCTTATGCTGGATTTTTTATACTGGGTTGTCTACTTTGAATTTGGTAAATTTTCTTTTTGTACTTTTGCTTTCAGCTGACTTTAATA